TTGTTTAACAGTACTCATTTTTTAAACTCACTATCAGTGATGCAGCAGCTGACTTGCCTCCAAAACACATCAATATCAGACTTTCCAATTAAACAGTTCTCTGTTGTAATGCAGTGCAGCTATTAGCCTTTTCCATCCTGCTTCCTAACCACGCTGAAATCTTTTATAAACTCTTTTCCTTTTGCCCCATTGCAGTCCGTATCTGTCTGCAGACAAGCCTCAGAGCCTCACCTCCCTGCAACGGCCTCAGGAAGGTGTTAGACGCGCTGGTGGGACAGAGTGAAGCGCTTCTGGCTGCTGTAGAAATCCTGCTGGTTCATGCCATGGACGACCTAGTTTGCAGTCTGTATTAAACCCAGCTCAGCTCTCAAAGGAATGGCAGGGTTCAAACATAAAACATTTTTCCTAAATATTAGGCAGTGAACTTCTGCTTTTAAAAATCCCAGTCACAGAAATAGGATTCAAAACACTTGAACTAAGCAATACCCTCATCACAAACACAGCTTTGAGGTCTGCCGCAAATGACTTTTTTCCCTTCTTAAATTTGAAAAAGGAGGAATTGCCTGCTCTTAGTGTATGAACTGCTGTGCAGGCATCTGCAAAGGCAGAAATAGGTAAGAAATTGTGTAGGATATCCTAGTTATGGCCAAAATCCAGTAATGAAATATTCTTCTAACTGCAAAACTATAGACGGGAATCCAGAGATCAACGTGTTAAAAGTAGACGCCAAATTTTTTTCTGTGACTTGAAAACAGAGTTTCCGGCTTCTTATAGCTACATGTCATTAATGTTAATAACACCTGTGCTACTCCAGCTATTAGGAAACATTGTTGTTCTCATAGCACCAGTGCTTTCGAATGAAGAGAAATCATCAAGTTGCCATTTAATCTTAGATGTGATATAGCAAGATAAGTGTAACTAACAATAAAAGGGAAATGGGTCAAAGCAGTAAGATCAAGTGACTGATTATTGTGTGAGAACTGTAGGTTAAATCCAAGCCAGAAGAACTCGATGTCATGCACGATATCATGAACAGTTAATTAGGAGGTGTGTATTATAAAAAAAAAAAAAAGTGAGTAAGAAGTCCTATTATGTATGCATAAATAGAAGTGGGAAAGTACCATTTATCTCAGTTTGCCCTCGACTACCCCGCAGGCTATACTGTTGTCTCATGTGGGGCAGCATTTTTCTAAAGCCAAGCTGGAAACTGGTGTACAGTCTCACACTCCCATTTTGTTTGGAAAAGCTGATCGTAAGTGAATAGTTATCAAGCATACTTCAGCGTTTCTAGAATATCCTGTGCTGTTTTCTCCATCTTGTTACAGAATCCTGTTTTCAGGAAAATGGAAGTGAATCTAAAGTACTACCTATGATCCTTTGGTATGTATGAGTAGCCCTGAGGACAGGCTTTTTCTGCAAATAGTTTACTCTCTCCCCCTCACCCCAAATGCAATTGCAGTGATAAAAGGAGGATGAGAAACATAAAAATTAATGAACAGAAAATCAAATATTCATAGAGTTCCAGCTAGGGAAAGTACACATCCTTGCGTTGACTTTGTCAGTTATGCTAAGACTTAAATACTGTGCTGGTTTCAGTGACACGGTGCTATATTAATATGCCTGTACGTAAAGCTTCCTGATCTTGCAGAGAATTTCAGTATGCATCAAATTAGTGTTTGTCGTGGCAGAGGTCTAGCTGTGACACGCAGGTAGTATACTATAATTCCAAATGCAGGTATTTCTGATTCAGATTAAAAAAAAATACTGGTTTCAGATGTGCTTTTTATGAAAGAGGCTCCATTCTAACATGGATCAATCATGGCACGCGAAGATGGAGTTCAGGTTTCCCTCTCGCAGACTGGGCTGTTGCCGTAGCAGGTAGCGTACGTGTGCCAAAGTTCCCCTGCAGCCTTTGTGAAATGCACAGAGAAGCTTTGAGCGTGTAGCTGCTTTTATAAGAGGTACATTAGCATGAAGTCCAACGTTGCTCTGTGAAGTCTTCCAGAATCGCTCTGTAGAGTTTAAACTAAAATATGAATTAGCTGTGTTGCGTAGTTCTAACAGCTTAGGCTTCTAAGTACTTTCCATCTGAGAGATTAGTGGTGAAAGGTGTTTTCTCATTTGAATGATGGGCTTATACATTTTCGAAAATAAACAGTTAATGGCGAGATAGTCACGGAATGACGAGACAGTCATATTAAAAATATATAACAAGGACTTCTTCTTTCCTCCGTTGTACACGAATTGAAGTGTAGGAGCTTTAAAATGAGCCCTGAAAGACCAGCTAACTCTTGTTGTTTCTTGTTTTATTTGACTACTATGTAAGTGCTGGATTACAGCCAAAGAATTCAGCATCAGAAGAGGCACCACTTAGCAGCGCTGCGCATGAAGCAGCCCTGCAGTCTGAGATTGTGTTTTGGTCCTAGTGCCTGGGAAGAAATGAAATGTGTTGCTTTGCAGTGGGCGCTCCGCATGCTGCCCTCTGCAACTGGGCAATGTGCTGGTTGGCGAGTTAGGAGGACAGCTCCAAGATCGCCCCTGCTCCCTGGCACGAGCGTGGCCAGGAGCAAGCGGGAATGCTGGGCAGCCAGATGGGCGCCAGTGCATCCCTCTGCAATGCAAAGGTATAACCGGACTCACTGAGGGCTCAACTCTTGAGTGCATCTGTTTCCTAGTTAGGACCTTGTCTGAGGCTGTTGCCTTAGTTTTTGTTTCTTTGGTCTGGCTTTTTAAGCCTTACATTTTTGTTGAACTCATTTCAAGTCTCTGCAAATATTGCAAGGAGCAATGCAGAATCCCATTAGTTGAAAAAGTCTGTGTAATTTCCAAAAGAAAAAGGAAATCCGTATGAAAATTCAGAACGAGTGCTCTGAAATGTTAATTGCTTTTTTCACTAGCAATGGCATATTGTAAGTAAAATTAGATCAAAGAACTCAGCGCCATCAGGACTCGCTTACTCAAGTATAAAACTCTCCTAATAGCGGTAATGCCGCTTTGGATGAATCATTGACATTCAGGAGTCTCTGGGATATTTATTCTTTGAAAGACAGCAGATGAGCATTTGACACGCTGACTTTTCCTGGGGCAGGACAAGCTGGGATGGGATCCGTAACCATCCCTTCCCTCACTTGTCATGTGTCCTCCCTCTCAACTTTACACAGCAAAGAAGGGAAGAAAAGGGCACTTCCTCTTCTCTGGCTGCAGATGACCAAAATAAACCCAGGTCTGTTTGGCAGTATAGACAGTAACAGTGCTGCCTGCGTTGTTTTGAGTTCGAAGTTCCTCCTGGCTTTCTCAGAAAAGACTACAGAGCCATACCTGGGAAAGCACACAGCAAAGACAGAGCTGGGGTGGTGGTAACAGGAGGCTGTCATTCTTGAGCATACATTTTAAATTTCTAGCACCCAGAATTATATTTCTCGTTTTTTCTGCGTTGCAAAAACCTTGTGTTGATCGTGAGTAAAATGCGTAATATGTAATGTCAATAGGTTGCAGCACAAGAAAATCCTACAGTAAGTTTATTGCACAGAGTGAAATGTAGTGAATAATTGCGAACAGTTCCCCTCCTGTTTAGGCAGCTGTGTGCTAGCAAACTGAAGAGGGCAGCGTGCAAGTTTGAGCCCAGGCGTGCTGTCATCCAGGCTGTCTAACCGTTCGCATGCTCCCTGGCCTGATTTTGTCCTGGGGGAGCTAGCAAGTTCCCAGGCAGTGCCTCAGTGGGGTTTGAGGGAAAGTGCCAGCCCCATGGCCCTGGTCCTTGTCGGCAGCGAGATGAGAGCTCAGCTGCTCTGTGAGGGTGAGCCTTGCCGTACCATCGCCCTCCAGGCCAGAGCACAGATTTGGACCTCTTCCTTGGCCAGTATGGACACAGACGGTCATGTTGTCCCAGGTGGAGACCTGCCAGAGTGGGTGGGCAAACCAGCTGGAGGTGGGGGAGGCAGATGCCACTGCGGGTTGGAAGAGGGGTTCAGCCCCTTCTGGAGGAGGTTTGCCAGCACCGCAGCCAGCGGTCGGCTCCCCATCCCTCCATGTGCCGCTGGTCCGTTTGGGAGCAGCGCAGAGTTGGCCCCATGGTTTGCACGCAGTGCAAGGTCCATGCAGGGAACCTCCCTTGTGCCACTCCTTAGGCGATGCAAGCGCTTCCCCACGCCTGCGCCTTCCCCTCTGCTCCAGTACCAATTTCAGCGTGAAACCTTTCAGCCAGGGGCGTGAGAGTCTTTTAAGTCTTTTCCACTTCCAGTGTTGTGATTCTGCGAAATTGCTCTCCAGTGCTGTGAAATCGTGCCGTGTGTGCCAGCGGTGCTCGCATCCGAAGCTGTCTCCATCACAGATCTCCCTGGCAAGAGTTCTGCTCCTTTAGGAACGTGCTCATGCTACGTGTGTAGTAGACCAAAATGCTGACATTTTAAAATGTTTTGGAAAATTAATTGACTGACGTGCTAGGGCATTTTCTGTGTTACTTGGTGTGCATTTTCACTCAGATTTGCTATATGGATGCTCATAAAATTGGCAATGTTCTGCTTCCATTTCATTAGCTGAAGAAATGTCACATTTTGCAAATGCAAGGTTTGATATATAAAGCTGGATGAAAACAGGTGCGCCTCTGTCTGCTAAAAAGCAAAAGATATTATGTTGGGGAACCTGCAGAACAAAGAACGTCTCAATTCTCTTCCCTTCTTCCACACTGGAAATGGTTCCCAGTAATGCTAATATTAGGGAATCTGGGGTTTTGCCTGCTGCTAAGTTATTTTTTCCCCTTAGGAAGGGCTTCATTTGTGCCAGTGCTCGTCGTACTGTGTGGCTTTGAGATTCAGGCAGCCCATCCTTAAATGGACTTGTTCTTGGCAAACGGCAGTATGATTTTTAGAAAATTAGCAAGGGCACCTTCTCAAGAGATGAGTAGGCAGCTGTGTGGCATGGAGTGGAGGAGGAGAAGGTTTTCCACAGCCCTGCATAATAAGGAGCTTTGCAATCTAAAATAGGTATTCCGAAATGGCTTGAACTGTTTCCTCTTTGTTTTCCAAAACGGTCCTTTGCAGCTAGTCAGTGCTTAGTAAGCTCAGAAGCACGTCCTTTGCCTTCGAGGCTGTGCGGGACTGTAACTGCTCAGCAGACTTTGTGCCCCTGCTCGGCGCAGGCACTTTCCCATGCTGTACTGGGAGCGATTGGCTCTCTCGGATCATGTGGGAGCAGCTGGAATCCTGAGTTGTAGCTTTTGGCACTCCTTTTTCTTTTAAAGCGCTTGCTCCTTTCAGCTCCCTAGGGCTTGTTGCCTCCCTCCTTTCATTACTCTGATTATAATCTGGAATAGCCGTACAGGAGACCGGAGGAGCGATTTTAAAGGAGCAGAGATGTTTAAGCAGGTGTCCAGGACTTCAGGCACAGGCTGCTACTATCTAAATTCCATGTCACCTGAGGGCCAGGAGATGTACGTACGATTCGACCAAACGGCAAGGCGCCCTCCCTACAGGATGAGTAGGATTCTTGCACGTCACCATCTGCTGACGAAAATTCAACAAGGTGAGTTACTGGCAGCAGCTCTTAGTAGCCTGTCCCTGTCGTTATTATCTGCAGGTCCACATTTTCAAACTATGTTCAAACATGTTTTAATGCCTCCAGTTGCAGGTTGCAGGCTCTTTTCCTTTTTGTATTCTGAACTAATCTGACTAAAGCTATAGTTTGAAAAGGTCATTCATAACTTTCTGTTTCTATGCAGTGTACATATGCACATATACACAGAGAACAGAAGGGTGAATGCTAGTGCATGATTAGCCATTTAACTATATCGTCTTTTAATCATAAACTATGTCGTAGCTTCAGTGCTGAAGTTCATCTTTTCTGACTTGAATAGCAGTTGCTGACATCAGTATGTCTGCTCCAGCTGCTCCAGGTAAAACCTGCCTCTAGTGAAACACAGAGAATAGGTGACCATCCAGTTATCAGCAAAGCAGAAGACCAGACCAGCTGGAAAAAGGCAGCTCAGCCAGCATTCTTTGGAAACAAGTGCGTGTAACTGTCAGAGGATTAGAAAACTTGTCACATGTCCTTAAAGATAATTGCTCACTTGGCTTTCTGCAACTGTTAATACATTTATCCAGCCAGCCATTACAGACGTATTGATCTTCTTTTTCTGAAATATGTATCTGCAGTGCTAAGGCTAAGTACCTAAATACAGACTGGCCTCAAGACAAATGCTTTGGCCTGTATAATGCAATTTAAAAGCAAATCATCTTCAGAATCTGTAAAGCAAAGATAAAAAAGTAAAAGCCAACCGTGCTGATTTTTCTGGATTAAAAAGCAAATCAATACATAGTGGAATCCTGTTTCCAAGAATATCAGTTGCCAAAAGAGTTGTGGTCCTGCGTACAGAAAAAGAGAAAGAAAATATAATGCATTTTCCATCCCACCACCATACTGGAAGATAACAATTTCTCAGGCAGTCATTGTCTTGACAGCTTATATTTGATTCTGCAACTAGGAACAGTCATAGATTTAACATCGTTTACTGTCTGTATCTGGAATATATTACAGAAGTTAGTGTGAGCTTCTGAACAGCAGCAGTTAAACACAATGGCTATTTCTGTATGTTGCTTTCAAGTAAGACTCTGTATATGTAGCTGTCAAACTCTGGCAAAAGTACAGGAATATAATGATGAAACATTTATTGCCTTTATAAAGAAAACAATACATATTGCTTTGGCCAGCTTTTAAAAAAGATGAGAAAGATAGTTTCTGTGGCAATTAGGAAGAATGCCGTTGTTTGCAACGCGGTCTCAGGAACTGGTCATGTTTGAAGGATACTGGTCCTCACTACAGCTCTGATTTCAGGAAGGATATTATGTCATTCTGTGTACCCAGTGTACGGCCTTGATTGAATGGAAAGAAAAGGTAATTTATTTCTCTTCAGTTTTATTTGAAAATACTTCAGGCTGTGTTAGAACCAACTTAACTGTCAAGCGTCAGCTACTGATACAGTTGTTGAACGCACCTTCTTTACCCGTCTTCAGTATTGTAAGACTTTCTGTCGTGGAGCTTGTGTGCCTGCCAGCTGTACCTACAGAGCGATGGCTGCCAAAAAGTCATTCAACAGCGCTGGTGTTTTCAAAAGCTATGTTGATTTTAGGCGCCCAATTTGTAACACTGAAATTGAGGTTTTAGTTAAAGTACTACGTACACTGACTTTGAAAATCTGATCATTTTACGTAGCCTTGACTAGATCATGCACTGATGGAGATATCTCAGTCCTGTAGTCACTTTTGAAAGTGAAGGCAATAAATACCTAGATTGCTCGAGAGACTGTGTGCTGAAAAAGCTCTTGCTGCTCTGCCACAGTTTTCCAATATGTCCCATACAAAGTTGTAGAAATTAATAGTTGTATAATGCTGTGATGATGTGATACAGTTCAGTATGTAACCACACTGTATGCAAGAGATTTGTGTATTCCAGATTACTAGGAATATATTGTTGCTTCCTTCACTTCTTTAAATTAAAGAAAACTGGGGACAGAGTTCTCACTGTTGGTTGAGTGTCAGTTCACTAGAAATGGTGAAATTATATGTACAAATAGATTCTGATGTGTGTGTCTGAGCCCCTGTGCAGGAATGTACGTCTCTAATAGAGAATCATAGACAAGTTACCCATTTTTTTCTGCAGCGCCCCAAGTAATGAGTAATAATTTTGATATAAATAGCTGTGTTAGTAATACCAAAAAAGCAAGTCCAGCCAGTGTAATTCAGCCTGAAACCTCCAGTTTACAGTCTGGATGACATCTTGGGTCCATCCAAGTCCCCAATGAGACTTTGCCTGAGGTTCACTGGGTCAGCCTGTCACCCTCTGTGCTGCCCTGTTTAGACTGCGAGTGGGGTAAGGCTGGGACAGGCTGGATTTTGTAGTACACAGTGCAGTAGTCATTCATAATTAATTGGAAATGTTACTCCTTAGGCAGAGTACTATAATACGGATTGAGACATCACCCCTTCCCTTTAGAGATAAGTGAGTTTGGCCAGATTGACAAGAGTGATTAGTTAGTAATGAAGTGCCATAGAGCAACTTACCAGAAATATATTTTAAAGCAAAAAAAACCCCGAGAGGCACGATGAAAACCAAAACTTGCTTTCAGCAGCCCAATTCAGTAAAGCATGCAAATCATTCTTTAGTCGCCCGGAATTCGTAGGTCATTGAATCATACATTTTAAGGCCGGAAGACACCATGAAGACAATGCAGTTTGAACTCTGCTACCCCAGTTCTTGTGTTAGGACCTCCCCAGTCTAATCACTGTTTGTACTGTAGCATATGTTTAGGAAAACATCCAGTCTTCATCTTAAAATCACTGAAATGGTGAATCCTGCGTGCTTAATTGCTGTGCTGAAAAGAGACCTGCCACATGTGTAAGTGCTAAGCTGCCTTGGGGCTTGTTTGAATAGCTGCTCTCTACTTTTTGGGCAGATATTTTTCAGTTGCTGGATTTCCAACCGTAGGCACCCACACTAGTAAATACTGAAGATTTTACATCAGGGATATTTTTCCTTAGTGAAAGAAATGATTCACAAAAAATATATATATGAAGCAGTCAAAACTTCCGCTCCAGGGTATAAGCCTGATTCACTAATATAGTGTGACACTAAGTGTTGCACACACTTCCAGCTTTTCAGTCATTACTGCATGTATTTTTCTAAACGATGCTGAATTACACTATCATATTGTGCAATACGGCTTTTCTTCCTCCTTTAAAAACATGTTTGCTGAAGAGGCTTTCCTTTGTATTTTCCTTTGGTGTCAGTTAAAAATAAACTAAATGAATCATTCTAGGAATTATGTTATTTAATCATTTCTAAAAAGAAAACCACCACAAGGGAAATGAAATGAACTAGACTGGTATTTTAATCAGATCATACTTTAAAAGTCCTAAATATTTGGTTTATGTTCACCACCGACTCCTTGAGGCAGAATTATGTGGTGGCCTGCGAATGTGAGTAGTAATTATCTGTCTGATATTAAGTAGGTATTTTCAAAATGTAACCTTTGATGATTCCCTTTCCCCTGTAAGCCCGTTAGTTTCCATGCTGAAGGGGACACATGCCTCAGCATAAAGGAACAGGGCGTAGCATGCTTGGTCTGAAGTATTTATTCAAACTGTGTATGCAGTAACTATATGAGAATTCATTAATGATTACTCATGTTCTCTTTAAATAAATAAGGTGGTGACTCTCAAGAATTTATATTACGTGAGTCACAAAGTTGTTATTTCTTTCAGAGTACATGGCTAAATACAGTACAGAACAGAAAATTTAAAAAGCAGTTGTAGGTAAAAAATAATGGAGAATTAAGGCTGTACTCTGAAAATGTTAAATTGAAATCATTGACTGGCCAGCGAAAGTATAGCATAAGTCAAGATGAATGAAAGCACATTCTGCCCCTGCATAGCTAGGCGTCACTGTCAAAGAAATTCAAGGTTGTTGTCCAAAATTATTTACAGTAGAACTTGATTCTTAGCCTGGACTTTCAGTAAGAAAACAGTGTAAACAAAAAGTAAAACGAAGGTGAATTCCTGTTGTCAATGAGTAAATTCCTATCCACAATGAGAAATGCTGTATGATTTCTCTCAGTGAATGTCCACAGGCAAGAATAGTATAAGAGTCCTTCAACAAAATGGTCTCAAAGCACGTTAGAACTTTTCAAAAGAATATCTCTGTTCTCTGTTCAGCAGATGCTTTAGCGTAGTCTACGCTGTAATTTCAGGATTGATCTTTTATGACTACTGTCATCTCTTTATCATCTGTGTTCATCCGTTTTGGGTGAGCCTTAGAGGTACAAGCAAATGTAGTTTTTCTGTCTATATGCTTTCCTTTGGAATTAGTTCAATATGTTTCATTCATCTCTTTTCTAAATATGACTGCATTTTATGGGGAGTATTACAGAAGGATATGTGTGAGTTGGTAAAAATTTGTGTGTTTTTGGTGACTTTAAATTTGAACTGTTAACATAAGACAAATCAAATATGATGAACAGCAGTGGATAAGCTGTAATATAGTCCCATATACCGCTCAGATTGAGAACTTTGAAATCATGACAGTGAAAAACATTGGAGTCCTAATCTGCATTAAAAAGCCCAGGTCACATTTTGGGTGTGATATAGGTACACACAGGTATATACTTTTCCATCCCTGGAGATGGAACATAGAATGTGATTATATAATTAAAGACTGTGATATTGTTCAAATAAGCAAGGAGGACAGAGGATGGTCGTTCAGACAACCTGAGCCGTAGCATTTCCCACGTTCTGGATGCTTGCCACTTTTCCTACACGTTTTGTAACCTAATTGTCTGAACACAAGAAAGCAAAACAAAAACCAACAAGACTCAACCATCATGTTAATGATTCAAAACCTCACTTAAGTCATTTCTGACCTATGCCGTTGACCTCCTATCTCTCAAGCTGGTGGAGTAACTACTGGCAATAGTTGTTTGTAGTTCCTACCTGTGAGCCGTCAGAAGTACAGGGAGACACAGCTTGTAAACA